GGGGGCAGGGGGTATCTGTCAATCGATTTTTCAGCCTCAAAATTTCTTCCCTTGCTTGGTCTTAACTCCCGTGTTAGGATTCGCAGAATGTTAGGTTATTTCAATTAAGGGTATCATTGTAATCTTCACTTTATTATGAGTTAATATAAATATGCGTGATGAAAAGAGAGGTTATTCTCCAAAATTCTACTCTCTAATCTCTTTCTTCTATTCTCTCTAATCTCTTCTCTTCCCTCTTCTAACTATAAACCCTAAAATTTAAGATGTTTAGATAATCAAACAAAAGTTTGAAGTCACCGAAACATTCTAGAAAGCTGCTGGTGTCGCTGACGTCATAGCCAGAAGTGACCAACTCTGACATGATCTGAGACTATTTCGTCTCCCGAGTATAATGGTTGGTGATTTTTCTATAATATTTTGAAGCCATCTGAGATATCTTTTCAAATTTTTAATGTTTTTCGGATGTTTTGGGTCATATTTCGCAATCTGCGATTTAGCTGAATTCTAGGTTGTTCCAACGACCTTAGTAGGACCTGTGGGTGCCGACTAAGCCTCCAAGGAGCTTTGGTGGACTTCCCAGCACTATCCACTGCTCTTTTGGGCATTTATTGGCTTCGACAATTAGTTTTGAGCGCCGGCAGCCCTTGTTTCCCTCTGGTAGTGGTACACATTGGCTCCAACAGTGGTACTATGCCCCGAAAGTTGTGTTTCTTGCTCTAGCTGTGGTGATTTGCTCTGGCCAGTGGTCCTTTGGCCCCGAAAGTTTTTTGCCCTTCAGATTTTGACTTTTTTTTTTTGATATATGTGGCTTCTGGTGGTTTTTTGAGCGCAAGCTGCTGGTTTTTTGTTGTTTGCCCCTCCAGTCGCAAGTTTGGTTTTTTTTTTTTTTCCCTCATGTTGATTAACCCGAAACTTGCTACTTAGTAGTTGGGCCGTGTCAGAAAATATTTTTGCTGCTAAGAAGACATGTCTGGAGTTGGTGATGAATCTACCAACCCTAAGAAAGGTGGGGTGGGTCGTGTAGGGACTCTTGGATGCAACACTTCTCCCTATACCTGTCTAAAGGGGCAACTATTTGACCTAGTTTCGATCATGCCAGTTATCAATGCTGGTAACTGGATCAAATGAATTCGTAACAAAAACAAGAATCCCAAATCTGGGAAATCCATGGCGGCGAACATTTCGGTAGGGATAAGCTGATGCTAATGGTGGTTCATCACTATATTGGCCGAATAATATAAGGAAATAAAGAAACGGAGTAGAAGGATTCTTACTTGCCAACTTGGTAAAAAGAATTGACAAAATACTGGTTTGTACACTCTACTTACACCAAAAGCTCCTTGGGATGATATTGCTAAGGATTCTATTTTTTTGTGGTGAGCCTAATGGCACAGCCATTAGTTGGTTGGACCAATACAGTTGACTTTGAAAGTTTAGGAGAAAGGCTAGGAATTTTTTGTCCAAAGAGAAGTGTAATTGGTAGTTTTATTATTATTATTATTTGATTTATAAGTATTTGTTTGACTAGGAGTAGTAATTAGAATTTAATTAGGAAATTATTCTATAGTTTTAGTAATATAGGAGTTTAAGAGTTTGATTATGAAACTCTTTTAGAATTTTAGTGGGAGAATAATTTTTATTTTGAAACTTTTTATTAACCTAGCTCATTTTAGAACTATCAGCTGCTTAATGAAATCTAAAATTCTATAGGTTCCAGAAAGTATATTTTATTCCCTAAAGGTTCTAAAACTATAATTTTTACCCCCAAAGTTTTTAAAATTACACTTTCATCCCCAAAAGTTTTAAAAATTACACTTTGACCCCCAAAAAGTTTTTGAAATTATATTTTGGGCACAAAATTTTTTGAAATTACATTTTGACCCATAAATTTTCAAAAATTACAATTTAGCCCCAAAATATTTTGAANCAAAAATTACACTTTGACCCCAAAAAAGTTTTTGAAATTATATTTTGGGCGCAAAATTTTTTGAATTTACATTTTGACCCATAAATTTTCAAAAATTACAATTTAGCCCCAAAATATTTTGAAATTATAGATTGAAAATTTCTTAAAATCTCTTCCAATCAATATGGTTTCCAACGCCGAATTAAATGCTAAAGTGGAGGCTTTATCCCAAGCACAAGTTGATTCACAAAAGGCCATGAATAAGAGAATGGATTCACTAGAGGAATCCATAACATCACTAAAGTAAATCATGAAAGCTTCTCTTAGATAAGAAGGGTAAAGTTATTGAGAAAAACATCGATAATAGTTCATCATCTTCAATCATCAATCCTCCACATGGATTTGAAGAAGCCCCTCCACCACGAGCTCAAGTTCAAGAACAACCAAGATTCTTTGATACTGATAGAAGAGTTAAGCTAGAAGTTGAAGATTTTCATGGGGATAATAATCCCGAGATATTCCTTGATTGGATGCATAACGTTGAAAGCTTTTTCATATGGCATCGTTTGACCAATGAGAGAAAGGTATTCTTTGCAGAATCAAAATTGAAGGGTATAGCAAGACTTTGATGGGAAAAGNCTTCATATGGCATCGTTTGACCAATGAGAGGAAGGTATTCTTTGCAGAATCAAAATTGAAGGGTATAGCAAGACTTTGATGGGAAAAGTACTAACAAACTCACTTTGATAGATCATGGGATGATATGAAAATTGCTATGACCCCCGACTTTGTACCTGCTAATTATAAGCAACAAGTCCATCTACAGTTTACACAATTGAATCAAGGGAATATGTCTGTTAGTACACAGGAAAGTTCTACAGCTTGGCCACTCGATTAGAGTTCCCATGGATCGACGAAGTGATGATTGTCATGTACAAGCAAGGTCTCAATTCACAAATTTCTACGAGTTTAAGTGCAAGTAAACTTTACACTCAGATGTAGTTCGGGTTGCTTATCAGATAGAAGATGAGTTAAAAAAGAGATCTACTATGAGATCTTCTATGGCACCTCCAATCCAGATCGAGAGAACTGTCATAGATGCAAGTCAAGGTAAGTCCACCAATAATCCCCTAGAGAATACTTTTATTCTAAACAAACTATCTCGGACTAGTACTAATTTTTCTTCTCAATGGAGTACTAATTCTAAGACGAGATGTTTTAATTGTCTTGGACTTGGTCATCTCTCTTTTCAATGCCCTTCAAATCTGTTGTTGTAGTTGAAAAAGAAAATTCCAAAGGTGCATAATGATTCTGATGAACCAGAATTTGAAACAGAGATCAAAGAACCCCTTGATGTGGATGAGGTTAATTTTGATGATTTGGATGATGATCATTTTGTGGGTGTTATCCGTCCTATACTTATTGCTAATAAAGAAGTTGCTAATTGTGAGTTTATTCATCGAGGAAAAATCTTTCAGACAAGAGTTTGTTGCGAAGGACTGATATGCTTGTTAGTAATTGATACGGAAAATTACACAAATGTGGTATCAAAAGAGGTTGTGAAGAAATTAAATTTGAAAGTTGAACTACATCTAGAACCATATCATGTAGCATGAATTACTAATACCAAACTGAAAGTTGATAAGAGATCTTTGTTACATTCACCATTGGAAGTCTTAAGGAGATCATCATATGTGATGTGCTACCTCTCAAGCTTTGTCACATACTGTTAGGGCGCACTTGGATATGGGATCGTGATGCACAACATACAGAGGGTGCTAATACTTATTCTTTTGCAATTGGAATAAAGAAGTGTACTCTTACTTGTGCTACTGATACATACACTACAATTAAAAAAGAGTTTGTTATTGAACCAGAGAACTTCTCCATCAGATGGTATTCTTGGCCATACTCCTTACTCGCTGGAGTTGAGTTCTTTTTGGCAGGGGAGAATTGATGGCGCAGCCATTGGTTAGTTGGACCAATACAGTCGACTTTGGAAGCCTAGGAGAAAGATTAGAAATTTTTGGTCCGAAGGAAAGTGTAACTGATAGTTTTATTATTATTATTATTTGATTTAACAGTATTTGTTTGACTAAAAATAGTAATTAGAATTTGATTAAGAAATTATTATACAGTTTTAGTACTATAAGAGTTTAAAAGTTTGATTATGAAACTCTTTTAAAATTTTAGTAGAAGAATAGTTTTTATTTTGATAGGAAACTTGACCTATAAATAATTGTGTAACCCAACTATTTTTATTCGAGAGTGATATAATAAAAAGTGTTTTTCCGTGGATAATTTTGCATATTTCTTGACCTAATCCTTGCGAGGGTTTGGTATCTCTTCTACTTCTTTCTATTATCTTATTTCTTCTTCTTCCGTCCTACATCAGAGTCGTCGTTCTAAAATGGCACATTTCAATCCTTGTTCAAGAACTGACAATGTAGCACATGTTAATGAGTTATTTGCTAGAGAAGTGATGAGGCTACACGATGTTCCAACTTTTATCATTTCTGGTAGAGATATCAAGTTTATGTGGCACTTTTGAGGACTCCGTGGAAAAAACTTGGTACTAAACTTCATGATTCTAGCACTTTCCATCAACAAACAAATGGTCAAAAGGAGGTAGTTAACCGAAACATTAGATACTTATTGATATGCCTTGTTGGAAGTTATGCGACGACGTAGGATTGCAAATATTGCAAGTTGAATTTGATTACAACAACCCAATGAAAGGAAATATATAGAAAACACACCCTTGAAGTAAGTAGCTTATGAAATGTTCCTGACCTAGTACCATTACTGCAAGAGGCAAAGGTGGGTGAAGTGTGAGAGGATTTTGCAAATCATGTTAGAAGAGTACATAAGGAAGTAAAGGCAGTAATCAGGAACAAATCCTCTATAATAGTAGTCAACCAACATTAGTGAATGAAGGATTATGAAGAAGGTGAGATGGTGATCGTGCATTTGAAGCAAAGATATATTTNTTAGAAGAGTACATAAGGAAGTAAAGGCAGTAATCAGGAACAAATCCTCTATAATAGTAGTCAACCAACATTAGTGAGTGAAGGATTATGAAGAAGGTGAGATGGTGATCGTGCATTTGAAGCAAAGATATATTTTTCGAAGGCACTTATCATAAGCTTAAGTCAAGGAAGTTTGGGTCATATGCCTATATGTTAGAATTGTCACCAAACATAGAAATTAGTCGTGTATTCCACATCTCTGACATGTATTTGTTAGAGAGATTTGATTCAGAAGCACTTTCCACAGGGACAAGGGTTAACTTCCAAAGGCGAAACTAGAAGTTGTTGAAGATGTATTGGATGGCATAGAAATAAAATCAAGGAAAGGCAATAAATATAGACAAATGTTGTTGCAGTGGTTGGGCAAACTAGCTAGTGAAAGTACATGGATAGGTTGGGAGGAATTGGAAAGGATTGATCCAAACGTACATGCCTAAATTGGCAACTTTCTTGCTTGAGTCAAGTTTTTCCAACCAACAGGGTTGCTATGGGGGCATCCACGAGGATTTCAAGACCAAGCAAGCCCAAAACTAGAGTTATATTGGGCTCTAGTAGGCTGAGTGTCAAAGTATTTTTTATTTTCTAGGATTTTTTTTTTTTTTTGTTTTGTGTTAGTCTCACGCACAGTTGTATACTCCCTAGTCTTTTTAAAATAGGAATGAGTGACATTTGAACTTTTAGGTTTCTTGAAGATTAAGGATTAATGGATTATTGAAGTACTCAAGGACTAGAATACTAGGACTGTTGCAACCTAGTATAAATACATTTATATGCATCTGTAAGCAGACTTCTTATTTTTCCATAAAATTTAGAATTGTAGTCTTTCTTGGGTCTCTTTGCCTTAGAAACTCAGATATTCTTCTTTCATCTGCATATTTTCACCAATAATCTCATTGTTGAAAATTAATTACCGATGAGATTCTTGCTCTAATAAGAACCTTCAACAAATTCTAACATTTTGTTGCATTACTCATGCTCCTACCACTAGTATCTTCTATGCTCTCTACTTTTTTATCGCCCTAAATACAACCTAAAGCTACTTACCAACAAATATGTTGATTAACTAGTTCTCCTATTTAAACTCTTGTAACGTAACTAAACTTAGGAAGCCATGGTACAATCCATTTTGCTGATTGAGTTGCACCTATCTCTGCGCGCAACCAACATGTCAACAATTGATTCTGCCTAAATGATGCAACCATGGCTCTTGGATGCTACTAAAGTCATGAATTCTCTCATAATCAAGATCCTATAACGACAACCATCAAAAACACTTTTCAATGTATTCTTCACAATAGCATAGGGAGCCTTAGTTCATACACCATAGTAATCATACATTTTTGATAACCTTTTTTAACACTTTTCACTACATTCTTCACAGTAGCATAGGGAGCCTTAGTTGAGACACATTTTAATCATACTTTTCACCTGATAACTTAGGTACTCTTTGATTACATTTATTAATTAGCTTTTGTCTCTTTTATTTTTTTATGTACTTTTTGGTTGTCCGGATTTGCTTCTTTCTTCCAAGCTTTAATCATGCATTTAGAGTAGCATACATATATGCCTATATAAGTGTATCTTTCATATGCTAAGATACATATAGGTGACTTTTCCCAAATTAGTGATCATCATCCCTTTGCTTTTTTGAGGCAATTCTTTTTTTCTTAAGCCACTGTTTTAATGGACACATCGCACTTTGACCGTTCAACTATGACCTTGATCTCACTTTACTCTTGAACTATTAAATTTATCATATCGCACCTCAACTATTTGAATAGGTTTCACACTGTCCCAAAAGCTAACTTCCATTTTCTTTTTGAAGAAAATTGACCAAGTATGGAATAAAGTGAAACAAAAATACTTAGTCAAGGAAAACTTTTCTCAAATTTGTAACTAACTCCAGAGGCAACGTAAAAGTAATAAACATAATTGAGGGGCAATGAGAGAAACATAACAATTTAGGGGGCAATGTGATGGTGAGGTGTATAAAATATTAATTCGCAAAACATTTGAATCAAAAATAGCCGGAATTCTCACGGTGACGAGCTCTTGTATCAGAACATAAGACAACCCAGCATCAACTAATTCCTCTTGCAATGTCCGCGTCGTTAAATTAAATAAACCTGCCCATTTGAGCATTTCTTCCACGGACTCGAATACCGGCCTCGACTCAAAACTTTCATAATACTTCAGAAAACTATCCACAGTACCCTACACATTATATCAAAAGATCAGTCAAATGCACACATTGAAACACATGCACACACTCAGAGTGAAAGAGAAATCAAATTAACCTCGACAAAGTTATTCATTTTAAAGAGCGAAAAGCCGTAACGAACGAACATGAGTATCGAATTGGCAGCCGATACGATTTGCTGAATAAAAGGAAGCTTCGAATTTGAATACAGGGTTTTGAAAAGGAACTTATGACCGTCCCAAATGCCAAGCGAGAAAGAAGAAGACGACGGCTCGTTGACTTTGAGATTCAGCAGTTTAGTGTAATTCAAAGCGTGGTAGTTCTTGGGGTGGAGAATGGAGGCACCGGCTTCGAAAGTTTCGCCGGAGATTGAGACGGTGGCCATGCGGCCTCCAACGACGCCGTGCCGTTCGAAGATGCGTATTTGGTGTAGGTGGGATGGGTTGGAGTATGTGCGGAGGAAGTGGGCGACGGAGGAACCGCCGATGCCGCTGCCGATTATGCAGACAGTGGGAGGGGTTGGTTCCGATTGGGAGGATAAAGTTGAGGAGAGGAGGAATGAGAAAGTAAGAATGGTCAACGGAATGTTCGTGATCTTCATTTTTGAGTACATGTTTTCAGAGGAGAGCAACCAAACATTACTACTTACAGTAGTGTGTGGAAGACCTTATAACGCAAATACAACCTAAGGGTGTGTTCGGATAGGTGGACTGGATAGGTGGACTGGATGGGATAGGATATCTTTTTTTATATCTTGACTTATCCGATCTAAACCCACTTAACCACTTTAAAACTCTAACCTTGGAATATATTTAATCCTTACCTTTGTTTGATAAACACAAAAAAGTAATTCGGTGGACTCCATAGGTTACACAAATAATTTATAGTAGTTTATCATTCTACCCATAACTCTATTCATTTCAATCATATTCTATGTTTGAATTGATGAATTATCATAATAAAATTATATATTTTTCACATATACATAAAATATATAAAAATAAAATAAAAAAAAATTTTAGGAAAGTTAATATTTTTTTTTTCAAACAAATCAACACTTTATTTTATTTCTTAAAAATTGATTACATCGGGAGAAAGCCAAAAAAACCATCCCTTAAAATAATATTTTTTTTTTTTTGAAAAAACAGGAAAATTTTATTCCAAAAAGACAGAATTTACAAGAAGCAAAGAACAAATGTACTAAAAAATGAAAAATGGCTTTAATCCTTCCGGATGGGTTAAACCATTTCTAATTACAACCAATGTCTCCTAGACTATGAGAAAAAAAACCAACAGCTCCAAGCTTTGAGACTGGCAGCTCCAAACAGCAAGTCAGAACAGCACCAGTCCAGTCTGAATAAACCAGACAGTCCAGCAACCCAGACCAAACCAGCTGCCTGCTCCATGAAAATCAGCTCCAGACCAGCGGTCAGCACCCTCACTTTAACAGTCCCATAACAGCAAACCGTAGCCAGCCCAAAAAAATTCAAATAGCAACAGCAGCTGAAAATGCACATGAACAGTCACATGATTAGTGACGTGAACAATGCAGCTTAACAATTAATGTGTGTCCAAAGCATCTACGGCCACAATTTTCTTTCTTAAACATCTACGCCTGAGCTGATCATGGAGCAACTTGGCAGGAAGAGGAAAGTCCAAAGCAGAATTCCAACATACTTAACACAACTCCACTTCCCAGCATACTAACATATGTTTGGATTGAAGAATTATCATAATAAAATTATACATTTTTCACATATACATAAAAATATTTAAAAATAAAATAAAATTTTTTTGTTACGAAAGTTTTTTTTAAAATGAAATTTTATTCCATGAAACAAAATTTACAAGAAGCAAAGTGGATCAAACCAAACTGGCTTAATCCTTCAATACACTCTATAATCCAAAATTTACATCAATGAAATTTCAAAAATCTCAAAATTGCAAAAACAGTAGCCTTGCCAGCACAGACTGATCTTGGATAAAACCAGATCAGACTCCAATTCAGAGCTCCAATCATCTCCATTACAGCAGTATATCAGCACTGCATAACCATAGCTCAGCAGCTTAACAATGCAATATGGCAAAGCTGCATAGCAAGGCATCACAGCAGTGCAGCACAGCAGGTAGACCAATACAGCACAACAGTCAACACCTCACAGCACCAGTTAAGCACTTTACTTGCTCTATCCAATACCAGTATCCTCCTTATACTCACAAACCAACTTCTTCTTAGTACGCAACACAGGGAGTCCCTTACTGTCCTGCATCAATACCATTCTGACTATAGCAGGCAGACAACCAACACTAGACAGATCAGAAGAACATCTGTCCAATACTGCCTTTCCTAGTAACATCTTTATTTGATCTAAAAAAGTTAATAAATTTTTTGTTAGGAAAGTTAATAAAGCAACCACAACAATGAAAATATAAAAGTAGTCTCCAACACTTGACTGGGAAAAAAAACCCAATGCAACAAGACCTCCTTTTAACCCAAACCAACAAATTTGCTTGAAATATGACTTATGCCAGGCACATTCACAACCTCCCAACACTGAATTAACAAGGTCCTTGATTGAGTTTGACTGAATCAGTATCCTGTAAATCCATCAAAACCAAGAAAATACAAGAAGCAAAAGAATTGAAAATTCTTATTACAAGGAAGTTGGCTTTAATCCTTCAGGAGGACTAAAACCAAATACTAATTACCAGAGTCCAGAAAATCAAATGCAGAAATAGCCCACAAGCCCAGACTGCCTACATATATCACCAAAGAAACGGGACCTACCTCATTTGCATCTGCTTAAAGAGCAACTCAGATAAACCCCACCACAGCTCCTCCACCATTGCTCACAGCCCAGCTCACAGCAGCAATCTGCCAGTTAGCAGAAAATCACTGAAGCAAAACAGATTAGCAACCAGTTCAGCAACCAAGCAGACTTCCACAGAAATCACTTCAATCATCAATTTTTTAGAAATTTTATTTATTGAATCCAAACATTACAAGAATCAAATAAAAAGAAAGTGTTAAGAAAACAGTACATGTTTTAACATTTCAAAAACAGTAAACTTTACAGAAAAGAAATTTTGTTATAATTCCTGTACAGCTACTGTTTTTTAACTCTGCATCACAGCTCAGCCCCTGCCCTGACTGATCATCACTACATCTGCACCTTAGCATCTTCACATGCTCCAGAACATATTGCAGTAAAACCACAGAGTTCAGCAACTGTCCAGTCTGAACTATAAATCCAGCTCCTTCTGATATAGCAATGCAGATAACAAGAAACAGCACCTACTATCTGATCTAGTCACTGCAGCTTCAGATTAGCACCTCCAAACTCCAGTCCAGCATCTGATGCAANTTTGTTTGATAAACACAAAAAAGTAATTTGGTGGACTCCATAGGTTACACAAATAATTTATAGTAGTTTATCATTCTACCCATAACTCTATTCATTTCAATCATATTCTATGTTTGAATTGATGAATTATCATAATAAAATTATATATTTTTCACATATACATAAAATATATAAAAATAAAATAAAAAAAAATTTTAGGAAAGTTAATATTTTTTTTTTCAAACAAATCAACACTTTATTTTATTTCTTAAAAATTGATTACATCGGGAGAAAGCCAAAAAAACCATCCCTTAAAATAATATTTTTTTTTTTTTGAAAAAACAGGAAAATTTTATTCCAAAAAGACAGAATTTACAAGAAGCAAAGAAAAAATGTACTAAAAAATGAAAAATGGCTTTAATCCTTCCGGATGGGTTAAACCATTTCNGAAGCAAAGAACAAATGTACTAAAAAATGAAAAATGGCTTTAATCCTTCCGGATGGGTTAAACCATTTCTAATTACAACCAATGTCTCCTAGACTATGAGAAAAAAAACCAACAGCTCCAAGCTTTGAGACTGGCAGCTCCAAACAGCAAGTCAGAACAGCACCAGTCCAGTCTGAATAAACCAGACAGTCCAGCAACCCAGACCAAACCAGCTGCCTGCTCCATGAAAATCAGCTCCAGACCAGCGGTCAGCACCCTCACTTTAACAGTCCCATAACAGCAAACCGTAGCCAGCCCAAAAAAATTCAAATAGCAACAGCAGCTGAAAATGCACATGAACAGTCACATGATTAGTGACGTGAACAATGCAGCTTAACAATTAATGTGTGTCCAAAGCATCTACGGCCACAATTTTCTTTCTTAAACATCTACGCCTGAGCTGATCATGGAGCAACTTGGCAGGAAGAGGAAAGTCCAAAGCAGAATTCCAACATACTTAACACAACTCCACTTCCCAGCATACTAACATATGTTTGGATTGAAGAATTATCATAATAAAATTATACATTTTTCACATATACATAAAAATATTTAAAAATAAAATAAAAAAATTTTGTTACGAAAGTTTTTTTTAAAATGAAATTTTATTCCATGAAACAAAATTTACAAGAAGCAAAGAGGATCAAACCAAACTGGCTTAATCCTTCAATACACTCTATAATCCAAAATTTACATCAATGAAATTTCAAAAATCTCAAAATTGCAAAAACAGTAGCCTTGCCAGCACAGACTGATCTTGGATAAAACCAGATCAGACTCCNGCTTTGAGACTGGCAGCTCCAAACAGCAAGTCAGAACAGCACCAGTCCAGTCTGAATAAACCAGACAGTCCAGCAACCCAGACCAAACCAGCTGCCTGCTCCATGAAAATCAGCTCCAGACCAGCGGTCAGCACCCTCACTTTAACAGTCCCATAACAGCAAACCGTAGCCAGCCCAAAAAAATTCAAATAGCAACAGCAGCTGAAAATGCACATGATTAGTGACGTGAACAATGCAGCTTAACAATTAATGTGTGTCCAAAGCATCTACGGCCACAATTTTCTTTCTTAAACATCTACGCCTGAGCTGATCATGGAGCAACTTGGCAGGAAGAGGAAAGTCCAAAGCAGAATTCCAACATACTTAACNAACAGCAAACCGTAGCCAGCCCAAAAAAATTCAAATAGCAACAGCAGCTGAAAATGCACATGAACAGTCACATGATTAGTGACGTGAACAATGCAGCTTAACAATTAATGTGTGTCCAAAGCATCTACGGCCACAATTTTCTTTCTTAAACATCTACGCCTGAGCTGATCATGGAGCAACTTGGCAGGAAGAGGAAAGTCCAAAGCAGAATTCCAACATACTTAACACAACTCCACTTCCCAGCATACTAACATATGTTTGGATTGAAGAATTATCATAATAAAATTATACATTTTTCACATATACATAAAAATATTTAAAAATAAAATAAAATTTTTTTGTTACGAAAGTTTTTTTTAAAATGAAATTTTATTCCATGAAACAAAATTTACAAGAAGCAAAGTGGATCAAACCAAACTGGCTTAATCCTTCAATACACTCTATAATCCAAAATTTACATCAATGAAATTTCAAAAATCTCAAAATTGCAAAAACAGTAGCCTTGCCAGCACAGACTGATCTTGGATAAAACCAGATCAGACTCCAATTCAGAGCTCCAATCATCTCCATTACAGCAGTATATCAGCACTGCATAACCATAGCTCAGCAGCTTAACAATGCAATATGGCAAAGCTGCATAGCAAGGCATCACAGCAGTGCAGCACAGCAGGTAGACCAATACAG